ACTACATTGATTCACATTTCACTAACAATATAAAGCAGGGTAGTATTTATGTACCCAGTCAAAGCAAGACTCTATTTGAGTACCTCCATATACACATACACATCTCCAACCATTTTCCCTGTTGTGGCAAGACTGAATTTGCAAAAAATTTGACTTACATTTCTGTTTCTCATATTCGTCTTTCTTCTCATCCACATCCAGAACTTTGCTTACATTGTTACATCTCCTTTTTTCTTTTGCCATGAAAGCCAATTCCTTTATGATTAATTATTTGCCATTTCTTTGCTATTTTTTTCCCCAATCTATACAGTTCTGGTGCTCTCCATTTGTCCAAAGCTCACTCTTCCCTTTTTATTACCTTTCCTTTCATCTATCTTCTCACCTTTACAAAGACAGCTATAGAAATAAATTTTTTATATCCTTCCTTCTCTCCTGAGCTCATAATGAGATCAGTGATGCCTCTATCATACCCCATTTTTCATCAAATTTTACTGTTTCAGAAAAACAGCTGTGACTAACTGAAAGTGGTCAGCACCTTCAAGAACAGATTACAGAAAGTTTTACAGTTTTGACATTGTAATCCTATCCTTTTACAGCTCATCACTTTACAAGCTGCAATAAGGTTTGCAGACATGGGTAACGGCACTGGAATTTAGCATCCTACAGACGCCAAGGTCTGAAGAAATACAGTTTTGGGAGAAGCTTCTCTTTCTTAACCTTGTTTTTATCAGTTTAAAAGTTTTCTTCCAAATACATGACATGTAGCTTAACACAGAAGTATAAGGGCTGGAAAACAGTGAATATGAATCCACAAAATCAGGACTGAAACGTCTTTCTTTCATACTAACACTTAGCTTTCTGTTTACTGTTCAGGAAATGAAAGAAAAAATGTATTTTTCAATATTTTACTCATGTAGAGACTTGAGGAAGAGTAAACTCTGTTGTCAAAGGCTTGAAACAATATATGTCCAAGCACTGCATTCATGAACAATCAGAACGGCAAAACTCCATGCATCTTAAAGCTGAACCCCTCTGAATGTGAATTAACTTGGCAGCACCACCAATCGCAAAGTACAGAGGAAAAGAAATTACCTTCAAAGAGAAGAGTATTTACCAGTATTTAAGGTGTTTAAGCAATAATGTTGCAATTAAAAACTTAAACCAAAAAGTGACAGAACTGCTGGAGAACTCGGTCTTCCTGGTGTCTTGTCTCATGCTGGTCAATGATGGGTTGGGTGAAGTGTAACGAAAAAAGTATATCATGATATAAATATGTAATGGTACTGGCCAGAATACTCTCTCAGGCTACACAGATTTACAGATCAGGGATTTCTTGAACTGGAGATGTTTTTTTTTTTTTTGGTAGCTAATAGTGTTTGGACATTTCCTGTACTAATTTGCCCAGTCACATTTTCAGTTCTTTCAGTATTCATACTAAGAGCACTAAGGAAACATCCCCTGAGCTCTTGGTAAATTAGAAAATAATGCTAATGAAGTATTGAAACATTTGGAGGAAAATAGTGGGGAAAAATGAGATTAATAGAAGGAAATCCTGAAGCCAGGGACTTGCTAAAGCTCTTACCAGTATTAAGCGCTTTTTCATAAAATATACCCAGAGTATACCTTTTGGATATTGGTAGCATTTTACATGTCAAACAAGATTCGGATGCATGGCATAAATTGCTTCTCATTTAATTTTATGCAAATCTCCCTGGAGTAAAAAGCAGTGGTTACTGTTTCCGTTTTGTAAGAATTTATTTAGCTTTCATTTTTTAATCTATCAATTAAATACAAGATTTAATCTTTTAATCTTGAATCCCTGACAACTGAATGTTGGTTTGACACCCCTATATTATTTTTATGATCTATGCCAGTCACAGAATAGTCTGCAGTATATGCTGACATTTAAACCATGAACCACTGTTATTGAACAATGAATTACATGCAGTGGAATTTAAAACGAAATTTTAATTTATTTAATTTACTAATTTAACTTTTCTATTACTTAACTGTATCACCTATGGATGCACCATCAGGACCAAGACCTCGCTCTGCTGGGTGCCGTACAAACATAAAGAAAAAAACTCGCTTCTCTAAAGGACTTAGAGGTGTAAGCCAAGAGACAACAGATGGCTAGAGGCACACATACGGGGAGGACATGGAAACAATATGGCTATATTAGTCAGTCTTATAGATGTGGCTTCAGCATGTTAGCAACCAAACCGTTGTCAATCGTTAGGTAGATTTTTTAGGAGAGTTTTCATAAGGCATTTGCTTCACAGATGGTCAAGGAAAGTTTCTTATCTGTGGATGGGGCTATGAAATGATTAGATGCAAGTTGACCACGCATATCAGAGTCAGGGATGGAATATATATTGTCACTTTTACATTGAGAATTTTGCTACTTGTGGAATGTTTGCACAAATTGGAATTATTTCAGATATTAATATATTACCCTGAGAGGACACAAAGAAATTCACATACTGCTTTTGGGTATTCCTGCAGAAGTAGAGGGTATGTGCTGTGCTGAACCTGTCAATATTTCTGCGTCCCTGTGTTAGCAGAAGTATCCCCATGCTTAATATATTTCCAAATACATCCCACTCATGTTTTGTGTTCTTCACATTTTCACAACTGCCAGTTTTTTTATTCTTTTGAATATCCTTTCATCCATGTAAAACATTTTAAGCACTGTATTTTCAGATAAATACTACAGACATATGTTTTGTTCCTTTGGACTGCATGCACAGTGAACTTGAGTCATGTTTTTATTTTACACTATTTTAACTCCTGCTCATGGTTTTTTTTTTTTTACACAATTTTAACTTGGACTGCTTCTACAATTCCAGTATGGTATGAGGTACCTTAAGTAGGAATGTCTTTCTTTCCTTTTTTCTTTTCTTTCGTTTAAACTCTCTTAATTTCACTGTATAGTGCTAGTAGTAGTAGTGCTAGTTGCTAAGAGTAGCAACTTCATACTTGCTGATAGCTACATACCTATTTCAATGCTTTCCTAGATTAGAGCCCTTAAAACACAAACAAGTTCTCTGTCAGATTAATAAAGGAAATGGTGGTGTAGCTATCCATCTTAAAGAAGGATAAAGGGAATACAAAACCTATGGAAGCATACTCTTCTTCTCTCTTCTTGTCCGCCTTATCATTACTTTGACCTGTTGCTTTCCCGCACAGAAATTTTGCCCTCTGGTAGTACTGTATGTCTCAAAGTACATCAGACAACATCAGAGTAAGCACAAATGAATTAGGTAAAAAGTAATCCTAGAAGTCTCGGTTCAAAATGCAGTGCTGTCAAAGTTAAAACATTTCAGGGCACAATGCATCCTCTTCTGCTCAAAGAAATAAACTCAGAAGAATAATTACCTATTTAAAGCCTGAAACAGAACCACGACTCCATAATCTTTAGTGAACGTAAGTCTGTGACAACCCTCATAAAGGGGTGGGGGAACGAGACTGAGAAAAATAAGAAAATAAAATGAAGGATGAAAGAAAGATCAAAAAAAATCCATTGTGCCTCCTAGGAGCCAAGTTAAATCAGGTTATGCACCAACAAAGTAAAAAAAAAAAAAAATTACATTATTTGATTTGGAGGACTTTGATTGAAAACAAGTATCAAAAACAAGAAAGCAATTTTATAATACAGATAAAAATGTTCAGCTAGGATGAAACCAAGATAAATTTGCCAATAAATTAAAATACTAGGAGGCATTCACCTGCAAAGGCACATATTTTTGGGCATTAGTACAATTCTGACTTCCTCTGTGTGCTTTCAGTAACAACATAGAAAGGGATGGCACTACACAATGCTTTCCCAAGCTATGCACATGTAAACAGAACCAACAGATTATTGATAAAAGATTAAATGAATAAATAAAAATTTAAGCCTTTCCATACTTAAATCCCTCCCCACATAAAACAGTGACCAAAACTCAGCAAAACTGAAAGGGTTATAACTCTGATTCAGAACAGCAAACAACCCAGGAATTCTCTCTTCCAACATTCAAATTTCTAACACTCTAGAGTTAGAACTGTTAAAGGAGACCCACACTTTTAAATTGCAAGAAAAATTATGTTTTTCTTACTCTTTTTAAATTTGAAGATGTGTGAAACACATATACATGCATATTTTAAGGCATTATGTATCTGTAGCTTTTCTGAAATAAAAGAAATAAGAATTTGTGGTCAGCTATTTCTCCTTTTCTTCCAAACTAGAGTAACTCTGATCCTCTTCCTTGCCCTCTAGGTTTTATGAGGACAGAAAGGTAAAAAAAAATTATTTATAATTAATATTTATTTATTATCCCTACTAAAAAGATTAGTGACTTTGAGGCAAAATATCTGTTTTATTGTGTTGATGTATAATTATCTATTTATTTGATTTAGTGTCTCTTAAAACAGCTAAAAATATTTACATATAGTGACATTTAGAAGAAAGTGAAAGATGGAGCCTCAGAGGATCTCTCGAGCCCCCTGACAGATCCATTTCATTTCAATTAAAATCCTGAAAATAGCTGAAACTCTGGCTCACAGTTTCTAAACACCAGTTCCTGCTGTTGAATTTCCATCTTAAGCAGTTCAAAGTCAATTTGCCAGTGTTGCACTGTTGGAGTCGGCTTAGTTTGCCACGTCCCACCTTGCCGGGAGACATTAGTGGCAAAGGACCGCAGGCTTGGACATCCTCCAAAGCAGCCCCACTGTCGAACCTGTTAGTGGAACAGCTTCCAGGTGCATCAGCCTCCCTGTCACAGAGCTAGAAACCAACAACTCTGCTACTGGAGCAAGAGCAGGACTTGTTTTCATCTAACCTGGGTGTGTTTTCCTCTTAAAAATAACCCGCTCCTATGCTCAGATAATCTCTCCTTAGCAGGAAGATGGAGAAGCATAAACATAAATAATGGAGAAAGCTCTTGCCTAGAGACAAAGAAAGTAGAGATGGAAAGAAACCTCTTTTTCAAGTAGACACAAGACAAGTGGGAATTACCTACCTGATGCCCGCACAAGTCCACCTGCTGGCACTGCCCTATGGCACTGCCCTATGGGACAGTTTAAAAACCAAAAACCACGAAAAGCTGAAAGATCTATGAAATGCAAAACATTTTGCGTAACTGATTGTGGATGAGTAGGTACTGAACAACTGAGAAAATCAGTAGTATTTCACTTGGTAAGGGAATAGATAAGAACAGAAAGAGCTGTAGGGTAATAGAAATTATCCCTCTGAACAGAAATGCTGATAAAAGGTTTCTCTTGATGCTGCTCGTGACATTGTTGACTTAATCATATCGGAATATTTCTTCATAAATAATAAAACAGAGATATTAATTTTGATGGTATGACTGTAAGTATTTTGGAAATAGCTATAAAAAAACACATAGGCGAATGAGAAACCCATTTCCTCCATTATGTTTCAGTATCACATCTGATGGGCTTTCTACCTATCTGGTACACATATTGCTGGTCTTTTAAGATTGCATGAGTCCACTGTGGCAAATGTAGGAGAAACGTGAGCAGGGGAAAAACTCCCACCATTTTATGATTTTTCGAGCTCTCTGAAACAATGCGGTAAGTATTCTTGAATGCATATGGGTATGGATACAGAATGATTAATATATGGATATTCTGCAATGACTAAAGTTCATGCTCCGTGATCCAATATTATATTACTAAAGTATAGGGTTGAATGTTATTGAAATCGTTGATCAAGTGTCATGTACTTACAAAATTATGCTTCTTAATTTTGCTGCCTGAATAAGCATTTTAATATAAGCTCAGTTTAATATATACACAGTCTTTTAGGAAGGACTCTCAAAGTATATCCTTTGTTAAACTCATACTCAGATTTACTTTAAGCATCAGTTGCGAAAAAGCTTCCCTGACCTTTCTCTGTTCAGGCTGGATGTATTTGACTTTTGATATGATTCCTAAGATGACTGAGGAAGCAAACCAGAGCAGGATCTTATTATTTAGGGTTTTTAGAATCTCTGATTACATTGTTCAAAGTTTAAGGAGGGTAAAACTTAAGTATAGTGATTATGAAGGGACTGTAAAGAGACACCATTTATACTACACTGTTAAAAGAACAGAAGTACAAGTTTTGTTGTTTTTATAGGGAATGATTTGATTTAACCAAACGCAGACTAAAATAAGAATCAAGCTATTAAACACATACCTACAATTTATTTCAGTGGGAAAAAAATCTCTCAAACACAGAAACTCTTTCAGTCTCAAAAAAACCTCAGCTAAAACAATAGCCTGATTTAGAGAGATGTTTCTCGTCCACGTCCGTGATGTTATTGCTGAGAGTTCGGTACAGGTCTCTCAGCTCTTCGCAGAAATGGGCAGTAATTTCATGGTGTTATCTTAAAAGAGCAGGATGAAGGGATGAGATTTTCACCGAAAAGGAAAAAAAGGCAGCTCAAACCACCAACATAGATCGTCAGATGCATTTTCCTTTGCCACTGGGATGCTGAAACATTAACTTCATGATTAATGTGTGGAAAGAGGATGCACAGAGCAAGTTTCTGTACCTTCTGCTGGTGACATGATTGCTGTGGAGTGAACGATCGCGCTTCTTGGCTCCTGAGTCACTTTGATCCTTTTGTAAACACTGCAGATAGTCTCATTCATTCATGATTTCGCCGTTTCTTGAATTCTCCCTGACAGTTTTAAAGGGCTGCTCAATAATTTTAAAAGTTCTCGCTGCCTTCTTTCAAATGATATCGTTCTAATTCGCTTCTGTGCAGAAGTTACTGGCAAGTGTAATTCAGCTGCACGTATCCGAATCTCTTGCACCAGAGAAAGACAAGAGTTTATGCTGACATTTTTAAAATCTTCCAAATGGCCCCAGAGATCTGTTCTGTATACATGTTTATTGCTCATGACAGAAAAAGCACTGCAGAGCCACTTGGGTTTTATTCATCTTTTTTTCTAAGCAAGTAACTTTCTGTTTTTATCACAGTACAGTTTCTTTTCCCTGAAATGAATCACTCTAAACAAGATAAGGAGCATTAGGATTCAAAGCTGCCACTCATGCATACAGCTGTCGCTTTACTAAATTATATGAAACTTGCAAGTATTTCTAATAAAAAAACTTTAAAAGGCAGCTTATTTTTCCCCTTGTACTGTTTTCAGCTCTTTCATTTGTGTCTCAGCATGTTGTGGGAGCCTGAGGAAGGCAACGCAGAAAAGAATCACACTTCCAAAATATCTCGGAGGTTTTTCTAAAAGAACTCTGTTCACATGACCTGGCAGCATCTCAGATTTAATATTCTTTTCATCTGTCTCTAAAATTTGACAAGCACTGAAGTACTAAATCAACTGCATTTTTCAGGTATCTGAAGTGGCCTATCACATCAGAATAAGGAAGACAAACGTCCTCCAGTATTAACTGCAGTTAAATGTAAAGGCACTGAAGTTCACTAAACTTAATGGCACTGAGAACAATCATCATGTCTTTAACTTTAGACCTAACAAATCCAACATACTGATCAAGGAATTGGCTGTTGTACAGACGCTAACTTATGCTGGGCACATTTTACGATGCTTAACTAAAAAGGGACATTTCATCATAGCATTTTTATTTCCAAATAAATGTTTGGCATCATTAAGTATGGACTGACAAGTATTTTGCTTGAAACTTTTAAAAGAGATTTTAAAAATAGTAGTCAGGGAAAAGATATATGGGAATAAAAAAAGTACCCAACATGGGTACCATGCCCAAAAGGCATGCTCTTCTTCAAAGGAATTTACATAGGCATGATTTTTTTTGTGTGGTTGTCTAATATTTATTTTATTATCTCTTTGATTTTTGTATACCACCTCCGCTTGAGCAAAATTGTCAAGTTTGTACACTTAAAATCAGGTTCCTAAATCAGTAGAGCAGGTGCCTATTTAATTGAAAATAATGGTGTACATTAATTTTCTAACCTGTAGGGCTACTCATAACTAACTTCAAATCAGTCAGACTAGCTAGGTAAATCACAGACAGTAACAGTTGTTTCTACCTGCTCATGGGGACAATAGCATATGTTGCCAAATTTGATTTAATTAAAAAGTCTGCGCAATCAAAAGTCACATGATGCATGACACTTTTGTTCAGGGTTTTTCTTTGCTAAGAAATGATGATTCTGATTGACCATGTTTGTAAATTATTTTAGTAAAGAAAATAAACTCCTTCAGATTTTCCTCAGAAATGTTACCTTCTAGGGAATATTTTAACTAACAAATTTTCCAAATGGATACTTTGATTTTTCTTAACTTGAAACCTTTTATGTAAAAATTTACTTATTAAAATATACAGATTCTCCAAATAAAAACTTTTTTTCAGTCAAAATCATCTTCCTCCTGCATTTTCTTTTTTTTTATGAAAGTTTTTAAAACATTTATATTGTTTGACTCGAAGTTCCCTCTCTGGCACATCTCTACAGCTGAAAGCAATTCACAGAATATTCTGCCAGAGACTGAGACCAGTCTACCATATTTGCCAGAATCGAGGTCTAAGCAGCTTTGCTATTTGGCAAAAAGAGGGGTACTGTCCTTAACAGTTGCTGGAGATGTAAAGGAAACATAATGAGAAATAAATGGACCACCAATGCAACCAGTTTCCCAACTCTGCTGTAAAGGAGAGGGCAGCAGGCAGGCTATGAGAGGAAATTTTCTAGGACTTTATTCCAGCAAGACTGACTCAGCCAGTAGATAATAGGCACTGGAGTGCATTATGTATTAAAAATGTTCCTGCTCTTGTTTATGGGAAGACAGCTCCAGAAACTGCAACCAAAGTTATTCTTGTCAGAAAGCCGCAAACTTTATAAAGAGGCAGGGAACCATCTCACTGCTGAGTACAAAACAGACTCAAACACATATGGTGGGCCTCATGTTAACATACAGCTGAGCGCCACTCAATAGGAACGTGAAAAGCATCAGGCTGCCATCGGTTGCCAAAACATGATCTGATATTGTGCATTCAGCCCTGAGGCTGTAAATTCACTTCCTTAACTAAATAAAACAGGAGACATCTGTTTCTGACAACAGCAGGAAAAAAGTCATTCCATTGATCACTGCATTTGAGAGGAAAAAAGAGATCTAGAAGACTAAATATAACACTAATGTTACTACCTTACCAAGTCCTTAATATGAGAAATGGACACCTCCTGTTCCTGGAGGCAATGAATCAAGTATCAGTTTTGATTACAACTCTCCCAGAGAAAGTCCAGATTGTTATACAGGCTTTAAGAAAGAAAGAATTTAGACATTAAATTGATAGACATTTAGACATTAAATGGATAAACATTCCAGTTTATCCTGCCACAGAATCACCAAATGATTGAGATTGGAAAGGGACCTCTGGGGGTCATCTTGTCCAACCTCCTGCTCAAGCAGGGTCACCTACAACCAGTTTCTCAGGATGGTATCCAGGCATCTTTTGAATATCTGCAAGGACGGAGACTTCACAATCACTCTCGGGGCAACCTGTGCCCATGCTCAGTCACCCTCACAGTGAAAAAGCGCTTCCTGATTTTCAGACGGATCCTCCTGTGTTTCAGTTTGTGCCCACTGCCTCTGGTCCTGTCACTGGGTGCTGCTGAGAAGAGCCTGGCTCCATTCTCTTTGCACCCTCCCTTCAGGTATTTATATACATTGATAAGATCCCCCTGAGCCTTCTCTTCTCCAAGCTGAACAGTTCCACCTCTCTCAGCCTTTCCACACAGGAAAGATGCTCCAGTCCCTTCACCATCTTAGTGGTCTTTCCTTGGACTCTCTCCAGTATGACCATGTCTCTCTTGTACTGGGGAGCCCAGAACTGGACATAGTACTCCAGGTGTGATCTGTGATGATGACATTCCTGTTCACCCCATGATGATGTTACAGTAATGTCATCTGGTCTCTAAAAATCACTTTTTTTTAAACTCCATGTTCAAAGATGTATTTTTATGTATGTATTCCATTCGCCTGGGAAGGGCACTAATTAGAAGCACAAAGATGAACGAGAAATGGATTCTCTTTCATCCGTTACACCCAGAATGATTTTAAGAGCGTCTAAAGTGATTGATGCATGGCCATGTTCCAACAAACTTAATTTCCCCAATACTTAACAACATAATCTGTATAATTATTAGAGACAGATGTAAAAACATAAACCAGTTCAGTTTTATAAATAAAACAAAGATGTGAACCCAGTATGTTTTCCAGTCATCTTTTGCCTCCAGAAAACTGCTGTAAATGAAGCAACTATAAGACTGAAGTAATCTGAAGTAACTATTTTGGAACCTCAGGATGAACTCTTTGGGGTAACCAGGAAAACCAGGTATCATGAAATTTACAGGAAAACAAAACCCAAACATTGTTTTGAGCAAGAGAACAGATTTAAACAAATCTTTTCCTCTTGGAGCTGCTACAAATTCCTTTTCCCTATATTAAAGTCAAAAACTGAACATAAGGAAATGGATTTTGCTAGCCCAAAACCTTTTCTACAATATAAATGCTACAACATAAAGTATATATCACAGTTCAAAGAATTCTTCTGAAAATTTATGCTTTACTTAGTTTATCATGATTGCCAATCTACTGAAAATTATCTTAAGGACTACAAATATGTTTCAAAGAATACTTCTTTGTCCAAAGTTCTTGAAAAAAAAAATTAATAAAGTATCACAAATTTGGGAAATTATTTACCTGAAAAACATTTTAATTGTTAACGGATTCTGAGTATGAATATTATAATAGAAAATTCTTCTATGTCTTCTATTAGAGAAATAAGAAGGAACTCTACTAGTGCAAACAAATTTCTGGCCTGAACGATAGTTGCAAACAAATGCTGGATTTAGATCTTGTTAAACTACATAAAAAGAAAAATTCAATACTGCTATATTTATTTTTCTTCAACTGATGAGGACAAGCAGAGAGATATTAAGTTGTTTTAGCTTTAAATTCAATTCATTATGTTTTAAATGGACACAAACCAAAATTATAGCTTCTTGTTGACTAACCACAAAAGACAGCTTTTCTTTAGGCAACATTAAAGCATGTGGAACAAGAATTAAACCCTCTCTTTCAGTGAACAAAAACTGAACAAAGTTGTGCAAAGCTGTGCATTTCATGAGAACATTTTAAATACTGAATTTAAAATATGATGTGACTAGTAGAGATTCTGGTGCTTAAAGACAAAAATTTGAGGTGTTCAGATTAAGCTTTTGCACACTATTTACCTCTTGAACACCTGAAGAATATTGTAATACAGAAATACTGCTACAACAATTCCTATTTATTGAAATCAATAGGAAGTTATATGAGCATACATTTGTGAAAATGGAATGGAGAAAATCACTATGCCTTCACCTTAGAAAAAATACAACTTATTCTATCTACTACGTAGCTTGTAGCTGGTTACTACTCAGCAGAAAGACAAAGGGAAACGTGTACATAAAATAAAGAAGCATCCTCCTGCTCCATGGCATATGAGGTTTACCAACGTAGTGCTCCTAAAATATCTTTGATGGGATGAGAATTTCTTTGGAACACACCCATGATAAGATCCGATTTTCTTGGATAAAAACAATTTGTTTAAATAATAGTATCTTATGGCCAAATGGAACGTCAGGGCTGTGCAAGAAATAGAACTGTGACTGCAGACTACAGATGCTACAGACACTGGGAAACCTCTGATGTATTAAAGAATTTCAGGGACAACAGATGGACATGTTTGGATCTGCTGAGCATTTGTGCTCCCCACTGAACTGTTTATTAACTTCAGGACTAGACCAAAAGTCTAACAAAGCAAATAAAACTTACAGGAGTTCTATCCTCTTTCTCAGGGGCAAGGGGCGCTTTCATAGTTTCATTTCAGGCAGGATTATGGGATGGAAGCCATAATGGAGATGTTACTCAACAGAAACAGTTGAAATAGCTTATTTCCGCTTTTGCTGTTAATGTGTGCTTAGGGAAACATTTTCAAGTGCAAATGCTTAATGAATGAGAGAAATGATCGGCTCTAACAACTAATGCAGTGTGACATTAAAATAGCTTCAAAAGTTGAAGAACTCACCGATTCTTTTCTGCTCATAGTTTTGCTTTGGGAACGGGAGCGGGAGATCGTACTGAAAAAGGAATCCTTTTTTGATGCAGACAAAGGTGGAGATCCTGTAAATTCACGTCCTCCAGGCAAGCTTTCTATGCTTGGGGATGAGCTGATGTTTTTTGAACTTTGGCCTGTAAAGCAAGTATAAAGTAACAAAAGAATTAATCGATGGGCAGCTTCTTTTTCCTGTAAGTATTTCCTTGTCTTAATCGACATTCACCGAGGTTCACAGATAGCTCAACACAGAATGAAATGTTGTAGTGTGTCAGCATGCATTGTGGGATTGAAGGGCTATTCTGACATACATGGAACTTAATTTTTGTATGAGAGAAAAATACGAAATCTTAGTGTATATATAGATATATATATACACAAACATGCGATATATAGTGTATATATACATGCTAAATGATACATATCTCTCTACATAAATACTATCTCAATATATACACTCTATTATGTCCATAGACTGAGGATCTTCTCTTCTCTGCGTGGCATAATGAGCAAAAGTTCCATCTCATAACAAAAAAAAAATAATCTGATGTCATCAACACTGCAAAGGAAATCCTTTTTCTCCCAACAAATAAACTATAAAACCTGGCCAAGAAAGCTAAGAACAAGAGTGTCAGATTCCAAGAATGAGTCGGACACTGAACATCTAGATAACAATATCTAGACTTGTAACAGGGAAAAGTAAGTTAAGTTTGGGAAAGAATGTAGGTTCTCATGCTTCAAATTTCAAGGCCATCTCCACCTAACAAACATTTTGATGAAGTCTGCTCACTATTTGCTTATTGTCATTTCATGTTGCCTTTCAAAAGAATCTAGTGCTGTCCGCTGTCATAAAAAAGACGTCTGGAGAGATGCCTGGGCTGTTTCAGCATGACACTGTACACAGTCAGGTGGTCTTTAATAAGGACCATTTCTCCCAGTTCAGGCCCACAAAGTGTTCTGAAATATTTAACTTCAAATATTATTTTGATTAGCTCCAGAAGAAAAAAACAATTAATATGTCAGTTTACATTAACTGTCATTAAGAAAATGTTGCATTGCGACAAATGTTAGTTTTAAAAAACCTTGCAGTTAGGTTTATGAGGAAGTCAACCCAGCATGACACAATGCACTTCTAGAATTTTCCTTTCTGAAAAAAAGTAAAATAGCACATAAAACTATAGCTGTAGAATTCTTCCCTTTTCTTGTTTTCTCAGCTATTCTGCTGAGTTTGTTTATGTTCTCCCTTTTTCCCTTTCCCTTTTTGTGTGTGTTTTTCATGCTACCTTCTATAGCATCAAGAATGATGCATCCATCATTCAGATGTCATGGCTGCAACTTCATCTCCTTTGCAATGTTGTGTTGCTCTGGGTTGCTACAACTCTCTACACCAGTTTTACTCTCAGATATGTCCCATATTATTGCACAGAACTTGCAAAGTATTTAGTGTTTTGTCATTGTGGATGCACTACCAATTCTGAAAATACAAAATTAACTCCTTTTCTGGAATGGGTTAGTCCCTCTTTCATCATGCACTGTGGTCTTCCCCCACGACACAGCTTTCTAAAGAAATAAATTAAAAGACAAATAAAAGAAAGAAAACAGACAGAAAAGCCTGCAGAAAACAGAAAGAAATTCAGATTTAGATACAACAGTAGACTAGCTCTGTTGAGATCAAACATTTTAAACAAAAGGAAACAACTAGCAAAACCTACTCACACAAGAACAATAACTGTCCTTAAAGTGGTGTGGAAGTCAGCAGTGCCACGCTGGGCCACCTGCTAGGGGAAGACAGAGCCCAAGCCAATTTCTCCATGGTATTTGACCTACACAGTTTATATTCCACAATTACAGCCACATGAAACCAGCAATCCACATTTTCTTATGGGAATAAATATAGACCTATTTAAAATATCCTCTTAGCAAGAAGACTGTTAAATGCAAAGAGACTGAACTAGCAAAGAATAAAACATCATATGTGACAAATCAGACTCAAAAGACAAACACCCAAAAAGGCTGTGAGTTTAATATTCTCAACGTTTTCTGGAAGAAAGCTGGCATATAAACTGCTTCCCACCTTCTCCTTCATTCTCTGCTGCTTTAATTTTGCTCGTCTCTCCCATGACTCTCCTACAATTTATGTCCTGCTTCTCATACTCCTGTGGACCTTCCTCTGTCTTTCTCCTCCTCTTCTTCAGACCCCTCCACATTGCCTCTTCTGCTTCTGCAACTTCTTTATTCTTTCCTTCCCACCAACTTCATTCAGCTAAATTTTTCTATTTCTTCCCAGCCCTCCTCTAGTCATTTACCACCTACCACTTAGACTAAACAGCTTCCTTAAAGTGCAGGAGATGGAGACTGTAGATCTCATTTAACTTTCGCCTTCGCATTATTTATAGAGAAATGGGATATGCATTAATCAGGTGAACATGAATCTCCAATTCTGTAAATAATTCTAGAGGTGGAAAAGGAGAAAAAACTGCACAGCGAACAGCAGAAATAATTCAGTCACAAGGAAGTTTTTAGAAGATTTCTAATTTTAGGATAAAATCATGTCACTTGGCAACTCCATTATCCTTGCAGTTGCCTTTATGTAAGAAGGAGACTTTTCATGCATTTCATAGTGGCAATTTACAATGGAAGTGTGGTTTTACACTTAACACTTAAAAATAGTTTGGAACAGGTGGAATTACGTATTTTAGCAAATAAAGCATTTATAAAAGAAATTCACACAGCTAAGCTGGGGCAGCCAATATAAATGTTAAACGTAAAATCTACTTGGTGGACAGAGTAAAGTACAAAGAAAAAATATTTTATTATGTATAAATCAGACTAAATGGGCTCTCTCATCTTACTAATACAAAATTATCTTCCACATAGAATCAAGATCAAAAAAATAACAACAAAAAAGTTAACCAATGAGCAAAGCATGTTTTTCATATACTCCTCCAGCGCATGGCCTATGCTTAACCACTTCACCTGCAAATAAGCAGATTACATGGTAGAATTTCATAGATAACATTGAGAGAGGGATACTTTAAATATATTTGAGGAACACGTGAACACATGAAATCATACGGCTTGGTAAAATGATGAAAAAATGATTTGCTAGGATTATTTTTTTCTATATTCTGTCTTCCATCTCCAAGGCAAAAAACTTCAAAATATAATAGGAAATTGAAAACACAGAGAACTATCCTTTTGGCCACTGCTTTGCTTACTACACAGCTACACTTCAAAGATGGATCACAGTTTAGAGGAATGGAATACACATCTACTTGCATAAACAAACAAGAGAAGAAATATACATAGCTGGGATTTTGTGGACAGAAGAATACAACTGTCCTAAAAGGGAATTTGCTCAAATAACACCAAGAGCTTTGACTAATGTGGTTCTTACGGACTATAAAATATAATGAAGATGAAAAATAAAAGCAATACAAGATGTAATGAAACTAAGACAGAGATGCAGTAAAACAGAAGTGACAAACCCACTATTTTTCTATGTTTTATACCCAGGTAAGAAGAAAGCCTAGGATGCACCAGATCCTTCTGCATGAACAAACAAATCTGAGAAAGAATAGCACTTATGAATAATTACAGTGTGTTGCAGGTGATAAAGCGGAGTTCTTGGACTGTAATACGCTTTTCCAATTTCCAGAGGAGTCATCATTTTTACGACTGTAAATAAGAATGCTGAAAGACAAGTCACACCAATCATACATGTTTTCCCTAATGTAACAAAAAAGCCACCTATCATTTTCCCAACACAGAAGTTTAGTGGAGCTGCTGCAAGAACAGTTACCTGAAGTCACCATGATGCTTTTTCCAGTCTTTCAGATGTATTATGTGTGCACCAATTTCTGAGGCATTAACAACCCTCATTTAACTTTGGAAATGATACTGTAGCACCAATGCAGAAACTTCAGGATCTTGGGAGTATTACACAAAATGCCGTTCGTCTCTTCTTTGTTGTGTGTCTTACTGACTCTGTATCTTTCTTAATAAGCAGTGTGGTATGTTCTCCTCACTCAATATCTTAATAAGAAGGTCATTTGAGAGAGTTTCTAGTTTTGGATTACTCCTCAGAAAAAAAAAAAAAAAAGAAAAAAAAAGGAACAGAACTCTTACCCTGCATGTGGAATCAAAATGTATAACGTGATGCAATAAACTACAGTTAATAACTAACCAAACTCATCTCCTTCTTTAGCAGCTTATTCAGCAACCTGAGAACATCACTGAACCAAAACTCTCATTCTCCTCTGCTCATTCTGTCAAGCTCAGATAAACACATTATGCCTACTCCAAAGAAGATTAGAAAAATCTAATCTCTGACCATCTAAACGTACACCAGAAGGTCCTAAAGCCTATATGAAACCAGCTGAAGAAACCCCAAGCATGGAAATCAAATGCTTATGAGGCACACAGAACAAATAGCTAAGGATCCCTGACGTAAGCAGTAGTCAGAACAAATTTCTGTGTAGGATCTCTCAAAAATGTGCACACTAAAATGCATAAATAGTTTGCAGTAATGATGCATAGGATTTCATGCACTAAAAGTACATCAGCTTCTGGGGCAAAAAGGAACAGCATTACCTCCATGTGCTGGCCACTAACTGGCTCACTATTTGCCTGTGGCTAAAGATACTGGGGCTGACCCCAAGGTTACCAATGTACTGTTGTCTCAAAACGATTTGGAAAACACACGGATGTGGTAGTGAGAAAAGGGACTGAAGTGTTGGTATTGGCAGGGCAGAGAGTGGAGACATGCAATGTCTTGAAAAGAAGGAAATTTTAAATATAATGTGATTGAGAATAAGGACTTAATGTAAAAGATGATGGTGTGAGAAGTGGAGACTTACAATGAAAGAAAAGCAAGCTGCAGGTCTTACTAAGTTTGAGTGAAGTTACAGGAGAGATAGTCATGAGCTTTGGAGGTATCAACTAATACACAGAAGTCAGAGAAAGATGCACAAAAGGCACACAAAACTGTTCTCTGGCTCCTACAGAGGAAAAAAAAAAGCTTTCATAGTTATAAGGAGAGCAAGGACAAGGATACCAAGGAGAAGAGAAGTGCGGCACGATCTATAATTCAAAACTGTTCAGATCATCTCATCTATTACTCCGTATTTGCCACAGTCAGGATGTAGAGCATTAAAATTTGTAATGAGAACGATGGGAGTTTTATAAAGCTTTTCAGCTTCTGATGAATTAGTTTCCCTTTTTCTCCTACACCGCAGTTGGAACACAGGCTTCCAGCACTTTTAAGACTTATTTGAGCCACCTCATCACACAAATCCGTATCCTTATTATTTCAGGCCAGGGCAGGTAAGCTCCTCTTAAGCCAAGGGCGTTAAAGCAGACCTTCAGCTCAAAACCACCTGCCTCGAACGTAACGAGAGGGATGTAACACAACTCGAAGACACACTGATGGTGGGATGGTCCCGCGTGACGAACTGCGCAATGGACTACACAGGACAGGGCAAGCAGGCGTGTTCGCGGCGGGCGGATGGCGGCGGGCAGCGAGCGGGAGGGCGGGAAGCGCCGCACACGGCGCAGGCA